TTCGAGCACCTGGATGTTCTTTTCCTATCTGTTTTATAATAAACACTAATGAATGATTGTTCTTGCTGTGAAATAAACTCTGTTTGTACAAAGACTGGGCATCATTGTGTTTATGAGATGACAGCTTCTTTTTTAAGTGGCTGCATTTGACAATGTGCATTCGAGAAACAGGCTGGACAGGAACTGGAATAATCCAGTTTTTTTTTTTTACCTGCCAGATGTGTTGTTCTCTAATTTGTTTCCCAGAATTTATGTACAGTAAGTAATTACAGGAGTCAGCAGTGCAGTCACTAAGTACTGGGATGTATAATTAAACTTTCTAACTTGATGAATCGGTTGTGGGAGTCTTACAAAAAAAGGTACTGTAAGACCATGGTTTCCATACTCATATATGATGGTATTTATATGGTGTATTTAAAAGAATATCAGTGCTTGTTTTATATTCAAAAACCTGGTATCACTACAGTGTTTTAGCTAGTGAGCATATGCTTTGCAGTCTGTAGTGCTGTCCTGTACAAAAGGAGAGGCTCGTTTTGATGAGGTTTTCTGCCTCTCTTCATTTCTCATCCTGGTGTGATCAATACTGAGGGTTTCTGGGTGTCTCTGTTTGCTTAATGTGAACAGTGCTCTGTGTTAGCAGACAGCACTCTCTTAATGAGACTCCATAAGTCATTTCAACAGCTGGCAGCTTTCACAGGCAGCCGCTGGATCTCCACACCGCATACAGAGCTCTAATTCGCTAATGTATACTGCTGTGTAGGATTGTTTTATTCATATAGCTACTTAATCATACATATGACTCCAGCATCTAAACTTTCTTTGTAGCTCAAAGATAATGTGTTCAGTTCTAGTATAAATGTCACAAACAGTGTGACTCTAATTGTTTCGAGCACCTGGATGTTCTTTTCCTATCTGTTTTATAATAAACACTAATGAATGATTGTTCTTGCTGTGAAATAAACTCTGTTTGTACAAAGACTGGGCATCATTGTGTTTATGAGATGACAGCTTCTTTTTTTCTTTTTTGTCTTTTTTGACAATGTGCATTCGAGAAACAGGCTGGACAGGAACTGGAATAATCCAGTTTTTTTTTTTTACCTGCCAGATGTGTTGTTCTCTAATTTGTTTCCCAGAATTTATGTACAGTAAGTAATTACAGGAGTCAGCAGTGCAGTCACTAAGTACTGGGATGAATAATTAAACTTTCTAACTTGATGAATCGGTTGTGGGAGTCTTACAAAAAAAGGTACTGTAAGACCATGGTTTCCATACTCATATATGATGGTATTTATATGGTGTATTTAAAAGAATATCAGTGCTTGTTTTATATTCAAAAACCTGGTATCACTACAGTGTTTTAGCTAGTGAGCATATGCTTTGCAGTCTGTAGTGCTGTCCTGTACAAAAGGAGAGGCTCGTTTTGATGAGGTTTTCTGCCTCTCTTCATTTCTCATCCTGGTGTGATCAATACTGAGGGTTTCTGGGTGTCTCTGTTTGCTTAATGTGAACAGTGCTCTGTGTTAGCAGACAGCACTCTCTTAATGAGACTCCATAAGTCATTTCAACAGCTGGCAGCTTTCACAGGCAGCCGCTGGATCTCCACACCGCATACAGAGCTCTAATTCGCTAATGTATACTGCTGTGTAGGATTGTTTTATTCATATAGCTACTTAATCATACATTACAACAATAGAACAATGTTAAATAAGTAACTAAATATGCTTGTTCAAAAAATAACAAAATTGGGAATGATTTGAAGCAAAACGAGGCAAGATTGTTACCCCTTAATAATTCCATTAATCATTTAATGCATCATATGGTTAAATAGATTAACAGCAGTTCGGATTAATAGGGAGGTGATTTAAATGAAAATATAATGAATTATTTTTTATCTCATCTGTAGTAGGCTTGGATTAGTTTATTGGTTTATATAACCCTGAAAAAGTCAATGACATTTGATGCATTCAACTCTCTAACTGCACACAGTGACAAGAAACAGCAGCTTCAGTCATCTTGTCTGATTGACGAGAGTTCACTGTCCTTTGTAAACTATGTGTTTTGAGACATCTGTGGTTGATTTGCTCCATGTGTTTGCTCTTTGTGTTTGACTTTCTTTCAATGACCTTGGTTGCAAAATTAATCTCTTTTTGGTCCAGGCCTGTCCCTGGGGTGCATTAAAAGTCTCCGAGGGTCTGTGTCAGTGTCTGCTGGTTTTACTTGCACCTTTTAGGGGCTTAATAAAAACAAGCCTTGAGACCCAAATCTTAATGACACCAGGGAATTTTCCGCATGAAACTTTGCATGCAAGTTATAGTGTTCCTGGAAGACCAGAAAAGTTCTGGGAAAACTAAACTAGACTGGTGTGCCTCTTTCTTGCTATTTTGAAATTTCCTGTAACATACACTGTGTCATTCTGTTTATTCAGACACAACATCTGCACATGAGGTTTGAATTATCACTTCTATTATATATTTAATAGACGGCCTTATTTACTAATGATGATTACATTAATTATTACATTAGTTTAAATACATAATACACTTACAATTTTATTTGAATAAAAATGTATATCAATAACGGATAAATGTCATTAAATGAAAAATATGTTTTTAAAGTACAGTTTAGTTTTGTATTAATAAATATTAAGTATAAATGTATCGTACTGTAAAAAGCGCTATATAAATAACGATGACTTGACTATCATATAGCTATATTTAAGGTACTTATACCCTCAATAATAAGTAAACTATCATTCCCATTGTATTTTGCTTAAAAAATGAATTATTGAAAATTGTCTGTACTCCAATCTCTAACACTATCAAAATCCTTTATCCTGTCATTTACATTTTTAAAGAGTTTCAAGAATGTTTTAGGTAACTTTTGACTGATCAGTAATGGCAAAAAGCTTGTTTTCAGCATGCCATCCTTCCATACAATACTTCAACTTCCATTCACAGCAAAAGCTCACACATTGACTACTGAAGGTTCACGTTTTATGGTCAATGTCGCCCCCAATTGGACAACAGTTTGAATCACTTTAACATACAAAGGACCTAGAAAAATAAAATATCTACAAATAATGCAAATAAAGATTAGAACATAAATAAATAAACAAATAGTCGAATAAATATATATATATATATATATATTAAAACTTTTTTTACTAATTGGTTTGTTCTAGTTGATTTAGTTCTTACCGAGGTTGCTTCAGAGCTCATAACGAACTGTTGGGAATTTTTGTCATAAGTCTTCAAATGAAATCATATTTCATTAACTTGCCCACTTGTTTCTCAGGTTTGTTTACTTTGGCAAGTACATCATGCATAACTTCACACTGACAGATGGCAAATGTTCTGCCTTTCACTTGTGTCAGAAACAATCTTGCTTGTAACACTACATATGAATGGTATGAACTTTTTTCTCTTTCAGACAGACAGACAGAGAGAGAGAGAGAGAGAGAGAGAGTAGAAGGAGGATGGGTGAGAAACAGTACAGTATAAGTGTGTCGTGTAGCTGTGTTCTCCCCTGAGGGTTGAGAGCATGAATGTGAATGTGGACCACTGCATTTTCTCTCTTATAGGCTACAGTTACTGTACCATGTAACACTGTGACTCATTTACATATAAAATCACACATTATTCTCAGCTATTACAACTGTACTATATGTTAAACGTGAAACTCATTTTGCACTGAACTCATAAAAGGTGATGCATGTGCTTACACATTTCGCATGAATGTTTTAGATAGAATTGTTATAGTAAACATATTAAATTCAAATTTAAATTAACCAGAGACCGATTTGCTTCTAGAAGAAATCTGATTCCTTAAATAATTTTGATATCGATCGTTATTGTCGTTGACTTATCTGGCCACTAGATGACCTGCTTTCACACTTTATTGTAAAACGTCTCGCAACCAACGTCGAAACATAAAACTGTTCAACCCTGAGGAAATATGAAATGAACTGAGACTTGTCATAGCACGTGCATATCATTGCTCTTTTGTTGTATTTGATTTGTTTCCACTGTCCTCATTTGTAAGTCGCTTTGGATAAAATAAATGACTAAATGTAAATTAATTTTAATAATGAAAGTTGATGAGCATGCTCTGTTTACTTTATTATTCGTTATTAAATATGTATTTCTAAATATATTCTGAGTTCAAATGGTTTGTCTTACCGGACAGCTAATATGAGTTTTGAAACATATGGTGTTTGAGTATTAAAGTATTAAGAACAGCGGTTTGTGAGGATTAATTGTGAAATACCTCGCCACTGCTAGAACATTCCAGCACGTTCCAGTGTGGACTGTAGTCCGAACAAACAGCAGCCAGTTTGGATCATAACCGTTTAACTGTCTCTAGTGTTTCAATAACCACAACATTCAGAATCAAAGTTAGTCAGAGCGCACTATAAACGCTCGCGAAAGGGAATCGCTTTTGCTTAAAGAGGTAACCATAGCAACAGGCCGCTCGACCCCTTTCCGCCGGCGACGGACGTTACGCAGTTACGTTTACGCAGATAACATGTTATATATATATATTTTATATTCTTATAATATTATATATTATATGTATACATTTATATATCACAAAAATATATATTTTTAATTAAACTTCGACAACCTATCGCAAGTAGCTATATCATAAAAAGCTTGTTTAAAAAAGTCTGACGCGAAGAAATTCCCTTACATTGTTCAATGAATAATTCGCACACTAAGACAGTTTCCTTATTAATTAAACTGAGAGTGGAGACTTAATTAGCACGGACAGGGAACTGCAAATTAGAGCTGGACATAATTACCAGCGTTTTACACATAATCTGTTTGCAAATATGTTGAGAAACAGTTAAGGGTCACACTGTGACTACAGTGTCGCTGCATCAAACCGACGCACACATGCGTGTCGCTAAGACACGCCCACTCGCCGGCGAGAGCGACGCCGATTGGCTGCTATACATACCAGCGGGCCTTGCTATTTCAGGATTGGCGGATCCGCGCTTTGCCATTACGTTATGCTCTTTTCTACACATCCACAAGGATGATAGAAAGAGAAGACGTAATGGAGTGTTCCTGAGCGTCCTTGCGATGAAAATCACTTTAGTATTCGACAGTATTCGAGGAAAGGAGTTGCAATGAAGGTATGTAAAAAGAAGTAGATGTCAGATTTGTTATTGATGTAGGCGAGATTTGCCATCTGCGTGGAAACACCAAAATAATTGACCTTTAATATGTCAACAGCCGGACTTCTTAAGAGTTGCATCAGTTTGGATGCATCAAATGACGTCTGCAAATAGCAATGCGTGCGTTCTTCCGTCTTCGGCATGCTCTTGCATTAACAGTGTTTGCTTGGGTGACAGCTGCATTTATGATCGTTTAGCAGGAGATTTGCTACTATCGGTATCGGTAGATATCAGGACAGGTGCAGCTGGATTTGTGCAGTGGACGCTTGGAACAGAGTGTGCAAGCAAGCAGTGCTCATCATAACCCAGTTTATCGCAGCACTTCTCTAATGAGCTTGGAGGATAGCCTCTGCCAGCAGTCACTGGATGAGTTGATATGAATGGACAAGCAGCTCAGACAGACAGTGAGGAGGGACAGAAGTGATTTCCCCTACTGAAACGTCACAATTAAATAATAGCAGAGGGATCATGACGTCAGAATAGCGATACAAGTATTGCCAGTGGACAGTGAGGAGGGACAAAGGTGGTTTTCCCTGCTGAAATATCACTATTTAATTAACACGGAATCGTGATGGTTGTGATTCTGATGTAATGTAATGTAATGATTGGGCATGCAGTCACGAGGGACAGAAGTGATTTCCCTTCTGAGTGATTATGACACATGATTGTGATAATGGTCAGGCAATATCAGTGAACCGGTTATTCAGATATGTTTTTCAATTACTAAAATGTGTTGATTTTAATTAAGTGCATGGTGATTATGACATCAGAACGTCATAGTGATTATTGTGATTCTGAATGTGATTATTGCTAGACTCTTTCATGAGAGGCAGACATGATTTCCCCAACTAAAATGTCACAATTAAATGATAACACGGTGATTATGACGTCAGAATTGATTGTGATTGTGATAAGAGTCAGGATATTATCAATGGACCGGAGTAGTTATGAAAATGAATGTGATTGTGATGAGGGCTAGACTCAAGAATGCAGTTAACAGTCATAAAAGAATGAAAGGGGTTTAAAGGGGTCATATGCTGCGATTTCAATTTTTCCTTTCTCTTTGGAGTGTTACAAGCTCTTGGTGTATAAAGAAGATCTGTAAAGTTGCAAAGACTAAAGTCTCAAATCCAAAGAGATATTCTTTATAAAAGTTCAGAGTCAGCCACACCTACCTAAAACGGCTCGTTCGAACACGCCCCCACATGTCTACGTCACTATGTGGGAAGATTTGCATAACGCCACCCAAATGTTCACGCAAAGAAAGAAGGCGTAACTTTTATTCTCGCTGTAGTATTGTTGCCGTTCACATGTCGTGAAGAGCTGTGTGCTTCGTTGTGAAAGCGAAACTACTTTGTTTGATCTCAGTAATTATGTCCCCACTGGATGCAACAAATGCCTCGTTTGTAATGGGTTTTCATGTTTCGTCGCTCCGGCCGGACACGGCATCAACAGTATGGTGTGGGGCGTAACATTTCTGTCACACGCTTGAGGTATTCGGCCAATCACAATGCACTGGATAGCTGGCCAATCAGAGCGCACCTCGCTTTTTCAGACCGATGAGCTTTGTAAAAATCAACGCGTTTCAGAAAGGCGGGGCATAGAGGAGAAACAATAATGTACAGTATGTGGAAAATAATGTGTTTTTTTAACTTTAAACCGCATAAACACATTTCATTACACCAAATACACAAAATAATGTTCTTTTTAGCAGCATCATATGACCCCTTTAACTAATAAGATGTCACATCTGAAATATGGCATAGTGATTATGACATCAGAATAGTGATGAAAATGTTTATTCTGTTTGTGATATCTGGCAGAGCTGTTATAATTAGACCCATAGTTCAGACAGTCATGCCTAAAATGTCACATTTCAATTAGGCTATGGAATGGTGATTATGACATAACAATAGTAGTATTTAATAGTAAATTACTGTGTTTCAGTTTGTGATATCTGGCGGAGCTGTTATAATTGGACCAGCAGCCCAGATATTAATGTCTCATTTTAATTATTGATGAAAATTGATGTTGATGTATTGATGAAAATGACACCAAAGCATAGTTCTTCTTCTAAAACATCACAATTGAACTATGGCATAGTGGTTATGATTTCATCATAATAGTGGAATGTTGAAAATGACGACGATTCTGAGTCTTTATTGACTGAGTTGTTATAAATTGAAAATCTTGGACAGAGGTGACTCCTCTCATTAAAAAATCAAAACTGAAACACTGCATAGTGATTATGATGTCAGAATAGTGGACAGGAACAAGGAGGGAAGATTGTGATTAAAAATGATGTTGTGCTGCATGTGCTCATGATTGTTGTGATTGATCAAGCTGTTAAGAGCTGTTATGAGAAGTTGCTCAGTCACAAGGAGCTGAAGTCTAATACGTCACAGTTGAATTATGATGCGAGAATAGTGGTTTATGATGTTTAGAGAAGGTTTGTTTGAATGTGATGACAGCGATCATGGTGGTATTTAAAATGTTTTTTAGTTAATTGTGGGAATTTGCTGATATAATGTAGGCGAGAAATGGTCAGATGATTACGATGAGATTTTTGTCAGCAATTAGCACATAATGGCTAAATTCTTTCAAATACACTCACTTCCATTAAATTATGAAGCAGTTTTTTTAAATTAGCGTTGACCTCACTCCTTCAGGGAGCAGCCTTGAAGGAAAGCGTGAGTGGCTATAATTAGAGGGTTAATCACGTGTCAGATAATTCAGGTTTATGAATAATTCCTCTCATTCATAAGAGCTCCACTGTCTGGCTTTGTTTCTCCCTGTGGTTTATGTAATGACACTGTGTTATAAAGCACAGATTCTCCCCAGGAAGCAAAAGGACGAACTATCTTCCGAAAGAAAGCTTTTTCTGAGGATAACCACTCTTCTGTGACAGTGCTTCTGCTTAATCTGAGTAGAAAAGCTTTTCGAATCAGACATAAAACGGAAGCATCTGGGGTTTTATATGTGAATTATTCAGTTATCTAAATTAGAAATTGTTTCTGGAGGTATTTTGGAACTTTGATATTGTGCAATATTACTCACAGCAATCTTCTCATTCATATTCTAGGCTATTTTGCCCAAATGTATTTGATGTCTGGTCCACACTATAGCTAAAGTCATTATTTAAATATCTGGACAAGGAGTTGAACACAAATCTGAAAAAAGTTTGAGATGGAGATAATCTGCTTTCATCTGTTTAATATTAGAAAGCAATGGAAATGGGATGGCATATCTCCACTAGATAATCATTATTGGAAATGCCAGTCATTCTGTAATAAAGCGAGCCAAAAAAAGAACAAATCTACTGATGATTATAAAGTTTTTTTTTAAATGTACAAATTTCTACCTTTGTCTGAATGTCACAGATGTCTTCTTAGAGCCCAGCGAGGTTCTTACACTTCTTTAAAGGAATAGATCATCAAAAAAATGAAAATTTGTGTAGAGTCTTCACATAGCTATTTTCCAAGTAAGGACAGTTTATAGTGAAAATGCTCTGTTTTGAGCTCCAAAAAGGGCAAAAACACCATAACAGAACTATACTATAGTACATACTATATTATTATACTATATTTAGTATATGGTTTTATGTTGTTTTTGGTGTTTTATGGGGGGGGTTTTTATTAATTTTTGTGGCTTGATATCCATTTTTGGATGAACTATTCACAGTTAACAGACAAAGTTGTAAACAAATGTTCTTCCACAAAAACATTATTTATACATCATTCATGGAACATTTTTCTTCAATATTTTAGTTGGACATTAATCTAACGTTATTACTTCCTAATTGTTTCAGATTGTTCAGAGAACATTCATAACATTAATATTAATATAAAAGGAACAAAAGAAACCATACTTTTTGCGAAATGATAAAACTGAACATTCTCTTAATGGTTTCTCTTCACATAACCAACCAAAACATTTTTACATTAAAAAAGAACATTCATGTACTGAGAACATTCAGAAATAACATTTTCATAGCTTAATGGGAATGCTAGGAAGGTGTTTATAGAACATTTTTGTTAGCTTCAAAAAACAGTTCTAAAACCAACATGTTCAAAGCTGCAGTCCCATATCTGCTGGTGTAATTAGTTATGCACTCTCATGTGAATGCTCATTAGTCAGAAGTCATGCATTTCTGTCAGTGGGAAGGGTTTCTACACTCCTTAGTTCTTCCAGAGCCTGCCGCTGCAGGTGAGAGGAGAGACGGAGAATTGGCTTTTCCATTATTCCGTTGTGAATCAGAAGTGCTGATTCATTGTTTTAAGAAACATCACGCTCAAGTGGAACGGACCTTGTCGAGTTGTCTTATTCCCAGCGCTTAATGCTGTTATAAGTTTCTGCATGTATTATACCGTGAGCGCAGCCTGGAGACATTAGTCTGACTTCAATTCTCTGGAGTCAAGTGTGCTTGCTCATCAATTAAAAATAAGCATTTACTGTAAGATTCGCTTTCAGATGAGTCCCCGACCGTGCAGAGAATCGTGACTTAGGGGAAGTGTAACGCTCTTGGTCTAGTCATCAGGAATCAGACCTTTAAGAGCAGGAGACTGTCAACCTGTCAGAAACTACCAGTGCCAGTGCTGTGGGTTCAGAAGTGCAGTTACACAGTCGTGGTCAGAATTATTGGCACCCTTGGTAAATATGATCAAAGAAGGCTGTGAAAATAAATCTGCATTGTTAATCATTTTGATCTTTTATTTAAAAAATTCACATAAATCTAACCTTTCATTGGAGAATAAGAATTAAAAATGGGAGCAAATGTCATTATGACATAAATGTTTTTCTCTAATACACATTGGAAACAATTAACGACACCCTTTTATTCAATGCTTTTTGAAACCTCCATTTGGCATAATAACAGCTCTGAGTTTTCTCCTATAATGCCTGATGAGGTTAGAGAGCACCTGACAAGAGATTAGAGACAATTCCTTCATCCAGAATCT